GGCCAGTGGTTGGAAAGTCTTGTGGATCCAGTGGCGGTGTAAGCATCTTAGCGCTGGTGTGAGTCTCCATGTGGCTCCTCCAGCTCCAGGGCTCTAGCCTAGCTCCTTTTGTCTTGTCAGCAGGAAGATGAAGCAGAATGTGTGTCTCGCCTCCAGGGAGCTATTTATCTCCATAACACCTCCAAATGAGGTCATCAAGCAGCAACCTGATTGATAGGCTAAATAAACTTCACCCCTTCAATCTGAATAGTTTCAAGTTGGCACCAAATTACCATATATACTCGTGCGTAAGCTGAGTTTTTCAGCACATTTTTAATGCAGTTTTTGTGGTAAAATTAGGTGCCTCGGCTGATATTCGGGTCAGTTTATACTCCAGTATATATGGTATGTAGCTACCACAGGATGTGATTGTAATATCAGCGCTAGGGAATTCACGAAAAGGTTGTACAGAAAAAGACAGGAAGAAAAACTGTTCCAGAAGTAAGTCAATTCTAACCAAGAGAATGGTTTTCAGCAAAGATAGGTCTTAACTCTATGAACAGTAAGTAAACCAGACTTAAGTATCAACGTTTTTGATGTGAAAATGGATGAGGTAAAATCAAAGACCAGTTGAAAGAAGAGGAAGATCAGAAATTTAGGCATGAAGATAAAGGGTTAGTTCAATAAAGTCCGGATTATGCACTGAGACACTGAAGAACCAAGCATGTATTCTGTGGAGAAGAAAATGTTGGACAATACTATTTTCTCTAAAAATATTGATGTTGTTTCATAATTGTTCTACTAATTGTGAACAGCTTGAAAGATGAGCAATCCAAGAGGCTTTGGGATTCCTTAGTGAACAAAAATGTTCTAGTGCTGATCTTGGTAACAACCCTTGGGTACTCCCTGAGGAGGTTTGCCTCCAGCCACATGGCAGACAGATGAGGCAGCTGACTGTTGTCACTGCCCAGCTTCTGTGCAGCCCACAGGGCCAACTATGGCAAGTTCTCATAATTTAACAGGTGAGTTATCAAATTGGACCACTGAACCTTTTAGGCATCCTGGAGAGAAGTACATTGCTGGCTCTCCATCTTCCAGAACCTCCTGGTACCAACCTTGGTGAGAACAACAACTGTGGTGTAGCCTTAAGGAGGAGGAAGTCTTAAGTGAGGTGAAAAGTTGGAAAGTCTTTCCAAAATTATTCTTTTAAGACTCCCTCCTTGCCTTTCAGATTGACCCAATTAGCGTTGATGAGACTACAATATGGAAAACTAGCAATGTGGTTCTCAATTGCTATGTGAGGCCAAAGGTTTTTGGTTTGTTTGGGTGTTTAAGATGGATACTGTTTCCCTTCTAGAACTGTGGTTAATAAGAGGTTTCTATATTGCTCTAAAAGCGCTATATATTTAAGTGCATTTATATAGGAAAAATAATAAAAGGAGATTTCTTTAGTTTTTTTTATCACCTTTCCACATGATTGTCTTTCAAGGGCTTTGCATTCAGAATGATTTCCGAATGAGAACCCAGATGAACAACCAGTCCTAACATTTTTCTGCATAACCTCCCCTCTAAACTCTTGGGTTGCAGGTATGCCTGGTTCTAGATTAGCTTTTCCAAAGCATTGTGCCTGAAATCCAGACATTTCCTTTTATTGTATTTATGTATGGATATAGTGAGGTGTTGCTCTTTGAAAGATATAAAGTGAAACTAACAACTATTCCTTTGAATACTAGCTGAAAGTCTACAGAAATATGAAAGGACTTCAAAAAGTTTGAGGAAAAATTGGGTTAAAAGAAAACAGACTTTTCCCATGGAATTTTCGAAGTCCTTCATACTCTTAGTAATGTAAAAAATCCTAACACTATTCTTTAGGAGACCGGGTAGTGCAGTGGTTACAGCACTTGGTTGCCGAGTGCAAGGTCAGGGATTGCGCTGTGGGAGAAAGATGTGGCAATTTACTTCCACAAAGACCACAGCCTTGGAACTCTCCAGGGCAGCTCTTGCCTGTCCTATGGGGCTGCTGTTAGTGTTTGCTCTATTTGAACTCATTGTTGCCCAACCACTGGGTCAATGCATTTCATTGAAGGCCTTCCTGCTTTTCATTGATTGGCTTCTTTACCAAGCATGATGTCCTTCTCCAGGACTGGTACCTGCTGCTAACATGTCCTGAGTAAGTGAAACAGTCTCACTCTCCTCACTTCTGGCTGCAGTTATTTCAAGACAGCTTTCTTCCTCCTTC